TACAGATTCCATTAATTTTTCTTTTAATTTATTATAACAGGAAAACTCAAATCTTGGCTTATGTTTAAGAATTATATCGCAAAAGCAATTATTAGTAGTAGCATTAAATACTTGAAAATTATCAATAATCCAGGCTAAAATATGATTTGTGATTTTATCTTGCTTTGAAGTAAGTAATGATGTTTTTTTATTTATGAAATCATATAATAATGGTTGGTTAGAAGCAATTTTAGTTAACTGATTCTGATTGTTATTTTCTTCAGAAGACAAAATTCTGTAAATTTGACAAAAATAAAATTTTAAATTGCCTGTTCTTGTTAATAATTAACTTATTTTTATTTGTGATTTTAACTTTGCAATATATTTTTTTTCAACTTTACTTTGTCTAAATAAGGCTACACCCAACTTTCTCTTGAATTTGGTCTTTTGAAATAAATATCTTTTTTTTTAAACTCTTTTATCTAAACTATTAGTAATAGTAACTCCACTATTATGCAACAGAAATTAATTGAGAGAACTTGAACCTGATTCAGTATCTAGATTATGTATATTTTCTGATATATTTGATATATTTAAATTATTTAACTTATTTGATTTATTTTCATTAAGCCAATTTAAAGCATTACTGTTGTAAAGACTAAGCTGCTGAGAATCATATATTGATATTTACTAGTGTGATTTTTATTTAAACAGTAAGTATATTGAGGTTTTAAGGTCTTTTCTTTTATTTATATATAGTTTTTGCTACTTATATTGTATTACTTTTTTTTTTTTTTAATGAATAAATAGAATTTTGTTATTCAAATTTGAGCTAGAGATAAAACTTTAATGATAGAATTACTATATACATACAATTGTTATTCTTTTAGAAAATTATATGCATAATATGGGTTTTATTGACTGAATTCGTGTTTTTATTAATTTTGTACATTTTGATTCATCATTAATAACTCATAATCTAATATTCAATCTTAATAATATAATTCAATCTTGATAAATTTGATAAATTCAAAGCTTCTCACTAAGAGGATTAATTAATATCAAATTATCAAAATTAAATCACTAGATCAAGAGTTATCAATGATAGATCAAAATATATAAAATTGATTGAACTACAAATTTGGTCAACAAAACCTATAGCAGTTTGGCTATAAACTAATATTGCATATAATATTTTTTCAAAATTTAATTAACAAGTGCACTAGGATAACCATAAAAGGTATAGGCATATAATAAAATACCACTATGTAAAAATTTCGTAGCAATAAAGCTGAATACAGGAAATAAACAATTCAATAATTTTCTATGATATAATGTCTTATTATATACTTGTAGTTTTGGTAGTTACTCTGGTGCATTTCTAATTAATCTTCATTAAAGAATAACTATTTTGTATATTGTATGCATTTGCTAAATGAACAAGAAAAGCTATTCTATATTCTACCAACAATAGCTTCGAATTTAAACAATAGCAGTGCATATATTTTTGTATATATACACATATATATTTATTTATTATTATTCATGAATTTATATAATATTAACCTTAGCCTTATAGATATGTGTCTAAATTATATCTAAAAAAAAAAGTATTTTAGTAGATATTTTGGCAAAAGATTCAAATAATTTTGGCATGAAAAGTAAATAATTTAGCAATTATAAAAGGCTAATTCTATCTAAATGCTATAATAATTTTTATTAAGATAGATAATTCAGGTATATATATATTTAGCTTATAGTTTTTATATTAGTATATATAAAATTTGGTAAAGAATTTGTGCTGAATTTATTTTATACCTGTAAACAGAATAATTGAATACTATTTTTATAAATTTAGTGACATTTAACAAAAATCAATTATCCGAATATTTGCTGATTTTTTTTTTTTTTTTAAGCGATCCTGTCTTTATTCATATAAACTGTTATATAATTTTTACACCCAAGTGTACAAAATTCCTACAACTTATTGTTCTAACTCAATAAAGACTCACCAAGCAAAAATACCCAATGCGACCTGCTATAATAACTGTTTGTCTACTCAGGGATTATGAACTAACTCATAATTTCGTATCCCAAAGGGTACCCCCCTCGATTATGAACTGGCCGTTGTATATCTCGTCAGGATCACCAACCTTTCTTTTACCGAAATCCGGGCAGAATAACTATCTTCTACTCTTTTATAAGCAAGAACATATATGCCACATTTACGAAAGACCAAAAATATTTAGGAGAATGAAAGGAAAATCGAAACCAAAAAACCACAAAAATAAACTATCCTAAATATAATTCCATCATAAATGGACTAGCAAAAAAAGTAAAAAAGAAAAGTCAGCGATCCCGACGAGAAAAAGGAAAAATGCACTATTATAACCCATGCCAGATGAGTATAAAAATTATATACTCATAGCAACATTGCATATCTCTATTATAAGGCTTCACCTATACTATTAATTTCTCTCTGATCCTACTATTTCTAGAAGTCTTCGCCCGAGTTCTTTTAATCAGATACTGTCATCGTCCCGCACCAACTCTTTAGTCTCCTGCAGCCCAAGCCAAAACTGGTAGCATTATATCCTTTTATGCCAGACATGTGATTGTCATTTACCATGTCAGCCAGATATAGGAATATAAACACTGTATAATCTATGTCGATCATTTGGAGGGGGTAAGCCAAATTCCTACTTTTTGTCAAAATTTTTAGAAGATCGGCAGCAATGAGAGAGTGTAATAAAGGAGACCACTTGTATAGAATAAAAGAGTGCGGCTTGAAACCAAAAAGTTTCAAAGTTTACTATACCCCTGGGTTCTTAAGGAGTTCTAAAGGCTTCGCTAACAGAATTTCTTTCACCAAAATTTATACACAATAGCAAGTGCCATCTGCATTTTCCTCCTTTGTGTCTTTGCTTCTAGCTTGCATGCTAGATATAGAGGGGAGTCCCGAAGCAGTCGTTGACTTCTCTAAAAACAACCAAGACCTCTCTCAAACTATAGTCTACAAAACTTTGTCAACGGTAATAAAAATACCACCAGAATTATACTTCACTTTATGCAGGGCACCACCTGTATGTAAAAATATATTGCTTCACCCTTTACAAATCCGGTTTTCAGCTTCTGGCTTGCATGCCAAACGTAGCAAGGAGTCTACTATAACCTCGCTACAAACTGTCCTGTAGCTACACAACTCTCTGGTAAACTTTTTCTACTTTTTCTTTCTGTGAGGAGGGTGGACCAAGTGATCATCAGGGAGAGTTGAATGAATATTTGCTGATTTAATAAGTTTTAATTTAGCAATTATCATTATAAAAATAGCTATAAGTGAAAACCAGAAAACTTGAATATAGATTTTATTAATTAGTTAATTTAGATTTCCTGGCTTTTACTTGGTAATAACTGCAAGAAGTGATCTTTGAAAATCTTTAATTTATTAATATTAAAAGATTAATTCCATTGAATACCTCTATAATAATATTGACAGCCTATAATAATATAATAATATTAGACAGCCATAATAATATAGATAAAAAAAAAAATCTAGACTATATAAAATATGTAAAAATATCAAAAAATTACACCATACCATTTACTATAAATCATCTATAATTTAAACATCATGTATTGAAATTGTAAGAAACTTTAATTGTTAAAAATATGAAGCATAAATATTTTATTTAAGCCAGTCATTAGAGTTTGGGATTTTTGATAAATTTAAAAATTTGTTCAAATTTAAATTTGCCTAGTAAAAATAAATTAAATATTTTTATGTGTAAAATTAATTTAAGCTTATAACCAAATTTCAGTAATGTAATAATAAAACAGCTATAAAATATTCCGAAATATTCCGAAAGTAGGCTATTAGCACTTAGCTATTAGCCAGCCGCTTAGCCGATAATTTGGTCGGCTGGCTAAGCCAGCCGACCAAAATCTTATGGCTTAAATCACTAGTTGTTGTTGGGTAGTTGCTAATCCAAGCATGATTATTGACCAATCAAATTAGTCACGTCAAGGTTGGGAAATTGTAACTGGACAATTGGAAATCTATCCAGTGTCTAGTGTTTAGTAAAAAGCAATGAATTAAGAAAAATAGACACCTTAATTTTCGGCCAATAGTATCCCCTTGTTAAAATGCCCGCCTAACATTAATTTAGTCAAATTAAATAGTAAATTGTCAGTTCGAGAGGGTGCTAATCAATTTTTAATATTTAAAATTTACTGAAAAATTACAAACAAAAATCACCTACTTCAAATTAAGTTACCCCGAAGGTTATTTCCCAATAGGCCACTTATCCGACATCACACAGGGTGACAATCTGCTAAAAATATATAGCTGCAACATACTAACCCTAACTCTATGTAAGTGTCCTGTCGAGGAAATAGCTTTCGGGAAATGAGCGACAACCTTAAAAAAAAAAAATTAGATTGATTTATAAAATTTTCGGATTTCTTTATGATAGATAATCATCGGGGGTTACAGTAATTTGATAAAGCATAATTTTATTAACAATATTTTATCACTGGACACTTGACATACAATGGACAATTCGGAAATGTCCAGTGTCCAATAAAATGCATTGGATCCCTTCACATGTACATACATACCCATTAGAATGTGTAATAACAATATTATGTGAACTATATATATAAATTTAAGATCTTAAACTATGTATTTAAACTTTATTGAAATTATACTGTATATATATGCAATAGCAGAAATTTGCAGTTGAAATGAATTTTATTATTTTTAATAAATTATAATTTCATTTTAAACTATTATAAATTTGTATATTAGGAATTTTAAAGACCTAAGAACCCTAGGTGGACTTGGTCTTTAAAGACCAGGACCTAAAGTCCCGGACCTAAAGACTTTACCAACCCTACCTCTTGGAGAACCACCGCCTCTGCCTCTGCCTCTTCCTCGTCCACCACCTCTTCTAAAATCGTAATCCTCTCTTGTCAACATTGGTGGATCTAATTTAACATTTCTTAAAAGAATAGACTTATGGCTACTTGTTTTCGCTGGAAGGTAATACGTGACACTAATGATAGAGCAGTTTGGCAGTGAGTTAATAGATTTCAAACACTATAAAATAATTAAATGTTAATCATACCTTAGCGACTTATCATTAACAATGTCCTGGGTATTTTTGTTTGGTAAAGGAGTACCGAAAGTACTATCAGGTATACAGTTTGGATCACGTTTAACAAATCCGACCAACTTATCGCTGATCATAGGATCTAATGCGACAGGCTATATATATTTTTATTATATATTTACAAACTTTTAGTAATAACCAATAGCAATTTAGTTTAATTATCATGAGTAATGAAACATAAATTACCTTTCCGTCGTTTTTCAGAGAATACAATAATATGCACAATCCTTCATACAATTTATGCTTATTACTAAAACATAAAATCTCAGAACCTAGAGTATTTCGTGCAATTTCATCTGCCTCCAGATGAGGATATACTGACTCTACAGCTTTCAATAAACGCGATTCTTCAATGAATGGGAGTAATACAACGCCTAAGAGAAAAGTAGTAATAATATAAATATATCGTTCAATATTTGAAGAACTTATATTCATTATGCACCTTGCCAGGCGTACCGCTTGCCATTTAAATCTATGGCAAAATCATTAGGATAGAAATCAATTATTTCACTGTCTTGACTAGTCATCAGTTTATGAAATGGCACAGGCAAATGTTCTTTGCTATATTAAAGAAATATGAATTTATTAACGATTTTAAAACATGCAAAACAAAAGCAAAATTGTGATTAAAAGGTAGTTCATTTACCTGGCAGCCGGTAAAACGCCCATTAATTGTTCAAATGGTTTAAATGGTTCACCTAATTCGAAATTAATTTGTAGATCGCCAATATTAACGAAGTCGGAAGCAAAAGGCGAGTAGTGGTATGGATAGTACCACTTCCAAGACGGAACGCCCTATATTATTAAACGGCATGAATTAGTACGTGATATAGAATTTCGGCTTGAAAAATAACAAAAAATGCATGCCTGGAAATAATATTTCAAAACCCAACATAGGCCTTCGATATAACTTCTTACAATGCTGAGAAAGTTAATGAATTAAAGTCAATTACAAATTCATATATCACCAAAGATTTTGGACAAAATAATGGCAAATTTTACGTAATATTAATGGGGTTTCTCCCAAGATATTACGCAATACCTGTCATTGCAATTAATAAAAATACAAAATATTACTTTGAGCGAAATTCATGAAATTGTTCATTAGACACCTCGACATCGAATTTATCCTTATAATATCGTTCTTTAAAGCCAGGCTCCCATAGTCTGATATAAAAATAAAAAATTTATCAAATTAGCATAAGTAAAAAAATGGCAAAAAAGATAAAAGAACGATAAATACCTAACGGGATCCTCTTGTTCTGCATCATCTGAGGGAACTGCTTGAATAGGTGTTTCTATTTCATTTTTATCTTTAGTCTCAATATAGGTTTCTTGACTATTATCATCCGAAAACTCGGACTTTCTTTTTATCCCGACAGAATGTGATGATATGAATGTATCCGTATTATCTGCAACCACTTCTGGTGTTTCAGTTGTAAGTTGAGTCATAGGCGTATCTATCGTCGTTTGAAAGGATTGAAGTGTACTCAAATGTTCGGTAGGAGCCTCATTAGAAGTGGCCGTATGAACTGAGGGTTCTATTCCACTCAATTCAGCCTTTAATAATTGTGCAGCACTTAAATTAGCCATTCGTAACGCTTGCCGATTAACAACAACATCTTGGTTTGTCCTTGCTCGAACTTGCGAGTCAAGACCTTTAACAGGAAGAAGTGGCATGCCAACAGGCAAATGATCTAAGCCTGAAGCGCCGGTTGGAGAGTATTTATCATTAATCCGCCGGCGCTTTGGTGCAGGTTGCGACGTACGCCTTTGCTGATCTTTAATTATATTCAAAGTTTAATTATATCAAAGCATTTAATAAGTTATTAATGAAGTCTTGATAATTGAAATAATACCACATACCTCTGTGCCTTCTAATGAAAATTTCATCTTCCATTTTACCTAATTCAGTCACCAAATACTGCATTCTTTTTAGATCTACCTAATTATTATTGAATTAATATATTTAGTTTAAATTTCAAAAAAATAACTAAAAAATAAATTTATATTATATATACTTGCATTTCCACAATTTGTTAAATACCCTCGCATAATTGGTAAACAACGTTTCCATATAGATATCAAGGTATCTATTGCACCTTCTCTTATTTCTAAGGATGGTAAGTGTGGAAGAAAGTCATTTCCCACAAAGAAACAAAGAAACACCCAATCATCAATTGCATTTTCTAAGTTAAATGGCCAAGGCATAGATGGTTCTCTGAGTTCAACTGCAAGGTACTCGCGAAGGGTCTCTACATTTAAAAGTACGTATGGTTTATTGTAATTCAAAATTTTTCCTTCGTCTTTGGATTTTGAGCGAGTTGTAACTAAATCAACTTTACAAACGCAATTATATATTAAAAAGAATATCAACAATAGTCTAGTTATCAAGGTTACCACATGGCATTCAAAAATAAATACCTCTACATTGGTTGGCCATGTGGTCCATGCGACCACATATGAAACAACCCTTAAAACTGCCGTCACTAAAAAAGACATCTTCACGTAGAACTTTGAAATGAGGCTCATGTGTACTCAATGAAAGCATAATCAAATCAGCATCCTGTTATAAAGAAATTTTAATTAATAAAGAAGATCATCTGGATACTATTATTAAAAATACCAACCAAACCATATATGACGTGTCGTGTGTTGGGGTCATGGTAAGGACTGGAACGTTGTCCACGAATAAAATCCATGATTTTATGTTCACCTTCACCTGGAACATTGGCATCAGATAGGATAACTTTCAACTGGTAATAAAAAAAGTGTTCTTGATTAGAAAAGCTACAAACAAGCATTGCAAGTCGCTAGAAGAACCATTACGAATTGCTAAAAGGACAATACTAGAAGACAAATATAAGTTTGGGCTTACATTTTTCCATCCTTCATCATAATTAAGCTTTTCTGCGATCCAATATCGTAAGCATTTGGCAAGATTTGCCATAAAAGGAGTACCTGTAATGATTGGAAAAAATGAGAATAATTATACGAAATACAATATACTGCAATTCAAAATCGTATAAATACCTGGTGTTATACAATTACTGTCGAATCCTTTCTTTTGAATCAATTCCTCATCAATCGGTGCACCAGATGCTATTGCATTTTGAATTTTGTAAATAAATTAAATAACAATACATATAATTTATATTATAATTATGCATACCTTCAATTTCCTTAGATCTTTCTTCGTTTCTTATTCTGTCTTCTTGTGCCGTACGAAAACGCCGAGATCGTTGTTGGTTCATTTTAGCGCGAGGAGCCACGCCATCTAACGCGGTAATGAAAATGTGTTAATGAATTCTGATAATATGCGATTCTTGAAAATTATATAACAAGTATTACCTATAGCAAGATATAAAACTTTTCTTGGTCGTACTATAGCGATAATTCTTTCTGTGTATTTAAAGATTTCAATCATCATATCATCTTCAGTTTCGGGTGCCGGCTAAATAAATCAAAGAATTAGAAATAACTTCAAATTGATAACCTATTCAACAAAGAAATCATACATACCTTGCTATCAGGATGGCAACAGGGATGTATTATACCATTCATGTCCAGATAAAGATTATCATATTCTACGTTATTAGGATTCGGTTTTGAAATGTCAACGGGTATTTCAACTCCATGGACGTCAACCGGCAGTTCTTCGACGACTTTTTCAATGATTTTTGGATATTTTTTTGAAAGCCATCTATATAACATTCGTTCATTATTCTTTTGTAGGTAAGCAAAATTTATGTCATTAGTTATAATTTACACCTACCTAAAAAGAGCCGGAACTCCCATTGTGGAATTTTAGTAATCTAGTAGGGATGTTGAGGCAAGAATATAATATTTATGGTGTAACTTTATTATTTCTAACAAGATATCACGTGTAGCCGATTATGGACGATCTTTTAAAATTGTAGTACCCAGATACAGTGTATACGACGTTGCATACCCTATTTTAATTGAATACCCTATTGATATCAAGTTTTTTTACTATATAATATGATACATTAGTCTTTTTATTAAACTGCTCTTAACGTCAGGAGCATAAACTTCGTTTGTACTGTATAAGCAATTTAAGAATATCAGATAATGATAATTTTCTGCTATAAGGGAGGGTCGGGTATTCTGGTGCACTTAAGAGTTGCTTATATGAAAATTTTTAGGAATAGCGTATTTATTTAAATTTATTGAAATAGATAATTAACTATCTGCTAATAAAAAAAAAAACCGACTTTAAAAAAAAATATTGAAATATGAGCTTTCAAAAAAATACTGTTTTTTACATGAAATATATTATAAAAATTAAAAGAAACTTAATACTGCCATAAGTAATGTCGACTTTTACTTATGTCTAGTGGTTTAGCAATTAGAATCATTCGTTTCAATAAGACGAATCGAATGGTACCAAAAATTTTTCGATTCTGATCAGTGTATCGCGAAATATCATCAAAAAACAGGAGTGCGTCACAATATCCACCTGCGCCAGAATACCCTCCCTTATAGAATATTATAAAATTTTGTTTAACCAAAAAAATAAATATATCTTTATATAACAATTATATAACAATTAAGTTCGATTTTAATCAAATTAATAAAATTAATTATTTAGACAATACAAACTATATATATACTTAGTTTTTCCTATCATTTAACCAAAATTACTACAGTAGTACTCCTCTATAGTCACAAAAAATTTTGATTAATAACCTTATAAAAAAATACCTCATAGCACATTATAGTTATAATCACATATTTGTGTAAAACAAACTGAGTGATTATAGAGGAGGACGACTATACTAATTATTATTTCTAATATTCTTCTAAAATTAATCTTGGTACAATGTTCATACTTTGAAGTTCTTGAAAAAGCAGCTTCGCAGCATAAGGCATTTGCATTGTTACCATATTCTTGCTGGATTTGCAATGCTGACACCATCCCCTATAACCAATTAACCCACATTGTTCACAGACATGAACGTCAAATTGGTCAGAAGATATCATCAAGCGTTCCATAAGTAACATACTGGCACCATAACCAACCAAACAGTCACGCTCCATTTCACCTAAACGCAAACCACCATCTCTCGATCGACCTTCAGTAGGCTGCCGTGTTAAAACGGCACGTGGACCTCTAAAATATATATATATAATAATTTTAATTAACATAGCTTTTTTGATTATCCATAAAGAAAGTATAACCTACCGAGCACGAGCATGCATCTTATCAACTACCATGTGTTTCAGCTTTTGATAATATACTGGCCCAAAGAAAATATATGCAGATAACGGTTCACCAGTTATTCCTAAAATTAAAATTCTAAATAAAATATCACTCGTAATTAATATACAAATTCTGAATACTAGTTACCTGAGGTTACATAATCTTTACCGGAATAACTATAACCATGCTCAATCAAGATTTTACTCATATCCTCAACCTTACTACCACCAAATGCAGTTCCGTACTGTAACTCTCCCTTCAAAACCCCAGCTTTACCTGCCAATAATTCAATCATTTTACCTACCGTCATACGTGAAGGAAAACCGTGAGGGTTCATAATGATATCCGGACAAATGCCTGAATCTGTAAATGGCATGTCCTCCTGCGGCACAATGATGCCACAAACTCCTTTTTGACCGTGACGAGACGAAAATTTATCTCCTAATTCTGGTATACGTGTCTGTCTAATTAGAACCTTAATTAGAGTTTGCTCTTGTTCAGTGGTTGTTATGCACACCTGGATTGTCATAATGTTAATTAATAATGATTTAAACATCCTGTGAAAGACATACGATCCGAACCTTATCAATATAACCAGTTTCTGGTGATTTATAAGTCAGAGGTGCATGCTTCCAAGTGAATTGAATCGCCGGTGCATTAGCGATAGGCATGTTTACTGGAATGTTTGTGTTTAGATTTGTCGGGGTATGCCTGTTGACGATAACTTGCCCGGGATTAACTCGTTCACCGACGCCTGCAATTCCATCTTCTTCCAAGATGCTAAATCTATCAGCTGATGGACCCAATGGTAAACTTTCTGGTGGTGGTGGATCACCAATGCGATCGAAAGAACCATTTGAATATCTTTTCATTAAAGCGACATGCTTCCTCATGACTTGACAACGGCCAAAACCACGATCAACCGATGCCTAAAAAAGAAAATTAATTTAAAATCATTATTATCAAAATAATTGACATATAAAAAGATATATACCCTATTCAACACTAAAGCATCTTCAATATCATAACCGGAATAACTCATCACTGCAACTATTGCGTTTTGTCCCGCCGGAAGCTATAATACAATTATATGTTAATAATTTTTCTGTCAATACTCTTGAAAATAATAAACGTACCTTATCATATCCAACCAATTCAATTGTTTTGGTTTTGACCATAGGTTGTTGCGGATATACCATAAGATAAAGAAGAGTATCTATCCGTCGAAGTTGGTTATACGCAATAGCGCCAATAGCTTGTTTTCCCATAGCACATTGGTATCTAAAAAGATCAGAAATGTTTTAAGAAATTTAATTAAAAATGATTATTCATTTGGGGCTAATGTAAGCATAAGTAACTTACGTGTTCCTGGGGCTTTGATTATGATGCGGATAAGGAATTAGCCCAGCTACAGCGCCCAAGATTGTAAATGGTTCAATTTCCAGATGAGTTGTCTGATAATCAATTTCACGTTCGTATATAGCAATATTTGAATCATTTTCTTCATTGACATCTAAATATTCGACAAGTCCTTGAGCCAAAAAATCCGCAAATTTCATTTTATCCTGTTTTAATTTCTAACAAATAATAAAAATTTATAGATTTCAGGAAAAAAAACAACCAAACATAATATTAATGAAATTATTAAGATAATATAATTCACCTACTTTAATATGTTCCGAAGTGACTTTTGGCGTACTATTCTCCACTATAATCAAGGGACGACATACGCGACCACCATCCGAAGCAATATGAACCGCTGTATGGTGATGGTTTACATAAATGCTAACAAACTCCGAAATTCTGCCACAACGACGTAATATTCGAAAATCTCTGACAAAATCAATAGGTTGACGTGTAATTCCAAGCATAAGACCATTCAAAAATACCATATACACATTTTGCTGATAGAGTTCAGAACCAGTTAGACCGTTCACATCTAATAATTTAATAATGGAAAAGTGATGAGATATCGTAGTTTATTCTTGCTATTTGCATTTTACAAAATTTAAAGGTATAAAAACGGAACCTTCAACGCCAAGATTAAACGCAAGTCTTTTTAAAGGTTCCTCTTCATCGTCAGTTGTGATATGCGTCATTAAAGCAAGATTTTTTACTAACCCGCAAGCTTCACCTTCGGGAGTATCAGCAGGGCAAAGCATGCCCCACTGTGACGGCTAAAGCCCAAAATAATATTGATCCAAGTTATTTCTGGCATAAAAGACAAGAAAATCACTTTCAAAATCTGTGATCAAACACGACAAGATTGTCGAATCCAATAAATGCACTATTAAAAACAGAGTGCATAAAGGACGCGAAATTCGACAATACATCTTTTTATAAACCAACCTGAAGAGCACGAGGTCCACTTATTTTTCGCGTTTTTTCATACTGAGATGTAATCCTAGTCATCGTTCCTAATGCTGAAATATAGCTTAACCGGCTAAGAACATGTGTAATGCCAGCTCTCTCCATCTTAAATCGTTTTAATGTCCAATTCCCAGTTGCAATTGCACGAACAAACCCGTTGGTTATGCAGTCACCGTGTTGCATTAATTGTTTATGTGCATCAAATTCAGATGCTCTATTAGGTTTCTTCAATAATTTATCGATATTAAGCTTTAAATCAAAATTGAACTTTTTAAATAAATCCTCAAATAGAAGTGACAGTAATGATCCTGCGCTATAAAAACGTGTCATTATATTAGTGTATGTATAATTTATAAAAGTAGCGATTTTTGGCGATCTAATTATAAGTAATCTTACAGTTCTAATCGTTTATTTCCAACATAATCACGATCATCTACCAAATTCTCATTAGCTAAGGCCATTAAGACGCGTCGAATCATGATAGCAATGTAAATGCACTTTGGCTGAAAATTTAAATCTTTTACGGGAACGTGAGCAAGTACAACAGTTGAAAGGATCTCCAATGCTTCCTCAGCCATAGGTCTTCGTACATTGGCAATTTTCCTTGTTACTTTAACTTTACTTCCTATATAATCTAAAGCCTGCTTCTGCGTGAATATATTCATACTCGCACACATTTCAATATTTGGAGAAAACATATTTAAAAAAGTCTGATTTCCTCCTGATATTAATTGAGCTATTTCTTTATCAGATTGAATTCCCATAGCCTAAGCATAAATCAATAAATAAGTAATAATATATATATATTTTTTTTTTTAAAAAAAAAAAAAAAAAAGAGAATATAATATATACCTTCATTACTATCACAATTGGGATTTCTTCAGAAATTGAATTATGCTTCAATGTAATTTTATCATTTTTCGCATCATTCTTTGCAACTATATAAGTTTTACTTTTTCTTTCGTGGGTTGAGCTTTGTAAAAATAACGATTATCATAAAAATTACAAATAAAAAGTCTTAAAATCCAATAAAGAAATACGAAGTTACAAACCTCGTCACGTAAGCTTGTACAAGACCTTTTCTGTCGCCTTCAACTATAATACGGTTTTTTGAAAGTTGTTCCTGAATGAGTATCACTTTCTCAGTTCCTTTAATAATAAAGTATCCACCTATATTAGATCAAAAATCTATTATCAGAACGTTATATTATCACAGTAACGATAGATTTCCAAATGAATTATGGAAGACAAATAAAATCGTTATGATCGATAAACTTTCTCCCAAAACAACCAAATATATTCAAGGAAGGCCAACGCTAACCTGGATCCAAAGGACATTCAAACATTTTAGCCAATTCAGCCTCGGATTTTCCGGTCAATACGCACTTTGAACTTCGAAGCATTATAGGTAACTTTCCGATAATTGTATCTTTACGAATAACTCTTCTTTTACCACGCACATATTCCACGTCGACATAGATATTTCCTGAATAAGTTAAATCGCGTAATCGACATTCATGAGGCGTGAAGACGTTATGTTGTGTTTCGTGATCGGTGTCAGGTCGCTCTGGTGGGCCGATCCTTATATCATGATATCTGCAAAAAGGGAAAGATTAAATCTAATTCTAACTATATATAATAAACAGGTAATTAGATATATGTACTTTAGCCAGAAGGCTGGATCGACGTCTGAAGTAATCATATCATTTGCGCGAATGATCTTCTTTAATTCTGTTTCAACAAAGAAATTAAAAGAATCGATATGTTGTTTCACCAGTCCTTTGACTTTTAAAAAGGCGGGAAGCAATTCCCACTTATCCTACAGAAATAATTTGTTATCAAGAGCAAATTTTACTTAAGCAGAAACGGATATATATGTACGTACCTCAACGTTCTTAACTGGATCAGTTAATCCTTTGCCTTTATTAGATAAAATCTGCTTCAGTTGGGCATAAGAAGTCTCATAATTTTCGGAGTTAATTTCATCAGCGAAAGTAACGGTCTTTTTGCCCATGATCATGCAGAATTCAATAGCGCGACAAGCGAAGCAAAAAATTAAAGATTAAATTGTTTTGAACGTTGATCCTACGATTTTGATTGGGCAATGTTGGAAAATGCATGCACCTAGTGAAGTGGCTCAGCTCATAGGCATTACCGAAGCATGGTGGACAACTGTGGTAGTACAAACTTCCAAACTTGAAATTTGTGACTCAGGACCGATCTGCCAATAAAAGTACAGGGATGATCGATCACATGAAATTAAACGATTCGTGCACATGATAATTAGCCAATCAATTTTTATAAAATTACAATAATGTTCGAATAATCTTTATTTATTAAATCAAAGATATCTC